TTTTTTTGCTTTTGTGAAAATTGATATTGTGCTTGTATTGCTTGGAGGAAAAGATTGAATCTTTGGATCGAGAATGCTTGACTAAGTGTGATTAGGAGTTAAATGCTTGCTCGTTTTGTGCTAGAGTTTGATTTAGTTTCCTAGGCTTTTAGCTAGCATGGCAATGTTCGGTTATTTGTGTGTGTTTGATCATAGAGACTCCGGTGAACCAAAATCCCTCTTTCCCCCTTGATTTCTCTCATGTTCTTGCGTGCTTAGTTAATTGTTTTCAATTGCTCTCATTTCGTAGATTAATTTAGCTTAAATTCAAACCCACAAATTGCGAGTAGAATGTTTAGGACCTTTTTGGTTGTGTGACTTTGACGACTAGGTAGTGAACGAAGCTCCGAACAGCCTTCCTTTGAGAACGACCCGAGTCGGGTAGCTCGGTTACCACATGCCCAAAAATATTACAAACAAAATGGCGCCAAACCTCATAAACCTCTTTTTTATGGGTCCCACATGTTTCCTGCTTATTTTTATAATTAATACTCTTATACTCTTATTTTTAATTAATATTTTAAAACTATAACTTCAATTTTATTTTAAGAAATCAATTCATAATTCCTAATATAAAAAAAAAAATAAAAGAAGAAAAGTAAATACTTGCAATAAAATTGAAAATTTTTATTTTTTAAAAATATTAAATATTGAACTTTATTTGCTAAATATGAAATGAAACGGTATAAAAAAATTAAATTAAGGAAAAAATTAGATAAGAACATGTTAATTACGCGTAGAAAGAAAAAGAAATAATGTCAAATTACAAATTAAACATAAACAGAAAAAACAAAAAACTTAAAATAGAAAAAAAATAAAAAAAAAAAGTGGGACTGTGGGTGCCATCCCCACATGGGCTTGATGGATGTGAGCCAAAGTCCCTCACGCCTCTTCTTCTCCGTGTGTTTCACGCACATTAAAACAATTGTAGTGGCTTCACGTGTGATGCAATTTTTTGTATTTGAACTTATTTATTATTTTAAGTAATGAATATATAGGAGGTTTATGGGAGGTTTGGAAAGACAAACCTGTGAACTTCCGGTTTGAATTATCAAAACCTCAAACTTCACTATTCTAATGGAAAACCTACAGGTTTAAAATTACAAACCTGTTCCAAAACCTCCTATAAGAGATGCTCTTATGCGTCAAAAGGGAAGACTATGTACACATGCAACAAAGTCAATTTTCCAAATTTTGAATGTTGAAAATTTGACAGAATGATTAATGTCTTGGTCTATCTTTACAAGTTGCCAAATTTTCATTTCTTTTTCTGTTTTCGAGGAATTTACTCTCGGTTAACAAACTCGGTTAACGGATAGCAAAATAGCATGAATCGTTTATCTATTCTCTCCTATTCATAATAAATATTGTTTTAAGAAGTTGCATACCAATTAATTTTTTTTTGTCAATAATAACCCTCACTAATAAAGATAGAGATGATATTTTGATAAAATATGAAGAATGAATATGAAAGACGTAGTGTACTTTTTAGCTAAATAAATATAATAATAAAAAAATATGTACAAAAGATCCAAAAGTCATTTATTTGGTTAATGGTTGATAAAATCAAAATGACATTTAAAAAGAATAGGAAGTAGTAGTAAGTTGAGTAATTGACAGACAATATGAGCTGTTTTTTAATCTAGTATGTTATGTTAGTTAATTCATTAGATCAACTGTTTGCAGAGCCAATCTAGGAAAAAAAAAATTATACAGGACTAGAGTTGTTATTCGCACAAAACTGTCTGCAAACACAGCTCGGTTTGACTAGTAAACTCGAGCTCAAGTGTTCTTGTACTTAAACGAACTAATCTCAAACACTTAATCAAATATGTGTATTAACTGAGTGTGTCTCACTTGTTTATTAAACGAGTCAAGCCGAGCTGACTCATTTATTAATCAAACATGAGCTTGAACATGAGATATTTTAGTTTGACTCGACTTGAACAACACCTTTAGAGAGATATATAATTTTCTATAGCGCACGCACACACACACAAGGCATACAACTTTGTTATATATTAAATAGATAAACAAATAATAAAAATGCTCTCCAAAAGATATAATCTTTGGGTTTTGGTATTTTAAAATTGTGTTTGAGATTATTTCAGATCACGAGACCATCAATGTTAATAGGTCTTGCTATTACTTTTCGATCCCGTGAAATTGCATATCTTGCATGCTATTTCAAATTTTTTATTTTAATATGTTACATATTTCATACGTTCAATTTAATTAAATATTATATTACAAAGAAAAGAACACTAAATATTATAGACAAAGAGTGAAAAATTACTTAAAAAAATAAAACATACTTAAAAATGATTAAAAGATAGAACAATATAATAATTAGTAATAATTATAGATTGAAGATATAAATTAAATATTCTTATAATATATATTATGTAGTAAAGGGTAAAAATTAATAATATACTTATGATGTGTATATATATACATGGTAAAAATTTAAAACTTTGGGGCACAAAATCTCCCTATCCAACATGTGGATCCGGGCTGTTTGTAAAATTGTTGCGTTAAAATGAACAATTTGCTATTAGTTTTTAACATTTAAAAATTACTCACGAATATTCTTATATTTCAGGATTTTCATGAATATTACAGCTATATATATGACACTTAGCAAATACAATTTATTAGTTAGCTATAAGTAAAATAATTTAATAATCATAATGATAANAGCTGCGTTTTTTACTTGCTAGGTTTAACAATAAAAAGCTAAATGAAATAGCTACTAATCAAATGTTTTTGTTGGCGGATGGGCAGAGTAAGAAAGCTATTTGTTTGAAATAAACTATTTTTTTAAAAATAATATACTCCCTCCTATTTTTAATATTTGTCGCTTTGACAAGCAACACGCTAATTAAGAATTTTTTTTTTGTCAATATTAATCCTATTTAATGGATGTTATGGAAAACGACGGAGATGGGATATGAAGAGACGTTATGTATTAGATGGAGGATTAAAAATCAAAAAATATGAACAAAATAGCTAAAACGACATTTATTTAATCAATGATCAATTAAGTCAGAGTAACAAATAATAAAAATAGGAGGGAGTATATTTTATTAATATGTATATAATTTTGTTTATATTATATATGCAATATAGATAACAAATCAAATATCTTTAAAGGCAACTAATTTAATATCTTATATATAAAAAATTGATAGCAAGTAAAAAAAATTATTAATTTTTAAATATAGCTATAATTTAAATTGACTAAGTGTGATAATTTTAAAATTTACAATTGACATGAATAAAATACAAAATTATCGGTTGACTAAAATTTGATAAAAAATAATATTATTCTGAATTAATAATTTTAGGTTTGGACATTTCAAAAAGTTTGAAAAACTACTTAGTAATTCCATAATAGTTTGACAAATATAACCCTTAAATTGTATGAGAACCTTTGATAATGATATTGATTGACTAATATAACTTTGATTTGTTTTCGAAGTTCTCAATCTGCTCATTAATTTCC